AAAAAAAGAGGACCAGCATACTGAATGGGCAACATCATACATAACGGTTTCAACTATTAACCCGAAAGAGGCTCCAGTCACAACAATGAACCATCACATCAAAAACAACATGAACAAGGAGTATTCGGAAAGGGAAAACAGTAAGCAACAGAACAACATAACCACGAATTTTCAAACGGTTTCTGCACTACATCGAGTCAACAACAGCTACAACCAACCTAAACAACGAAGTGCAAACAACAGATACAACTAAAAAATCGAGAGTTGAAACGAATGTTACCTTTTTCGGAGCAGCGAACGGAACAGGGACGAGCAGCAATAGCAGCGACTTCCACACGCGAACGGCTGAACGTTCTTATGGACTGGTGTCGCCGGAATGGAAGACGATGTCGCGATTGACACTGAGGCGAGAAGCTCTGGTTTTGAATATTCTCAGCCAACAGTCCGGAAAGGCGAACGAAGAAGGGGGAGAATCTTCGAATTCGATATCCTCCTTCGTTCTTCTACAGCAAAAGGAAAAGAGACCAAAGTACTCTCGAAAGTGCGCAACAAACAGATAGCAAAATTTCTTTTTCCAGAATTTTCCAACAAAAGAGAATCTTAAAAAAAATCCTCTCTTAAGCCTTTCAAACTCAAAATTTCCCAATCTCAAAGTTTTCAACCAAAATTCTAACCAAGAAGAAAAACAATAGAAGAGACCAGTAAGAAAATCTAAGTCAAATTTTCCCTCTATGCAATCTTTTCGACAAAATCTCTAAGTATCTAACGATTTTTCCACTCCGAAAATTCCAACCAAAATTGCTAACCCCTTTTCTTAAGGACGAAAGGGGTTTATATAGGGGGATATTAAGGTTTTTCGGAAGAGGGAGGGCGGGAACGTGACTATTGATTTCAAATTTGAAATCTCTTTCATTAATGGAGCCACACTTTTCCTGAAGATTTCGTCTTTTTTGGAAAATGGAAAAAGGGAGGGGAATGGCTAGGATCGCTCATATCGTCCTTGAGAGGAGACGTGGATCGATCTCGCGCCCTCAAGGAAGAAAACGCGTCTGGCACAAACGAAAACACAGGTCTGCCATAGCCGAAAGCGGGTCTGCTGCGATGGGTTGAAGAAGGAGACGTTGGTGGGGAGACGAGAAACGCGGCTGGAGGCTGCTTTTCGTACGCAGCCTCTGCGTTCTCTGGTGATTTCTGGAAATGGCGTAGGTGTTCCGTTTTTCTGGGTAGCGAGAGGGGAAGCTCGCGTGGGGAGACGCGAGGAGAGGAGGAGAGGAAGGGAGAGAGCGTAAGGAAGACGCGAGGGTGTTGGGAGAGGGGGAAGATTTTTTCGTTTTTTTTGGAGTACTGTCGCGTCTGCATTTTCTGTTTCTGGGGATTTTTGGCGTGGTGTGAAGGGAAGAAGAAAGGGGGAAACGGGTTATTGGGTTGGGTCGGAGCGGGTCATAAGGGTTTGGGTCGTTGGGTTTGAATTGGGTTGGGTATTGGGTTGGTGTTTAATGAATTGGGTATTTAGGTGTGAGCTGAGGGAAATTTGGGCTGTTG